GGAATTTTAGATGGAGAATTTTAACCCCTTCCTGCTCAGAGCATGTGTGGATCCCCCTATCTGTGCAGATGGCAAGGCCCCGCCCCCCGTCCCTCACTCCAGCCTCTTGAGCTCAGAGCCAGTGTAATCCTCCTCTTGTGTGAGGAAGCCTCTCCCCTGCAGAGAGGAGGAAAGCCTGCCTCGGAACAGCTCTGGACAAAGGGGCTGAGATGCCCCGTCAAACCACAGCCTCCAAGGTTTGAAACGGGGTGAAACCTAAGTGGGATTTGCAGTTTTTAACCCCTTCCCTAGGCTGGTAGTGCCCCTTAACTTCCACGCCTCCCCCAACTCTCTTGATTCCCTCTGTAGCTGGCTCTCCCTCCATGCCCCTCCCCCTCTGCCTCCAGACTCTGCTGCTGGGAGGTGTTTCTCTCCCATGCATGAATGAGTCTCTGTAATGAATGGAAATGAATGGATCAGGAATCCAGGAAGGGGGAGGGGGAGGAGGAAAGACCAGAAGACTGGTGCCGGCAAAAGCACGAAGGAGGAACCTGGAGGGATTTTGGCTGGCTGGCCCCTGGGTCTGAGAGGAGCTGGTCCCGCTTGGATAGCAGGAGTATGGCTAGCCCCCCACATTTGTTTATCCCGTGGCACAGCCCAATGCGAGAGGAAGAGCGGTACACTATGATGGCCTCCCACATTGTGTGTGTGTGTGTGTGTGTGTGTGTGTGTGTGTGTGTGTGGTGTGGTGTGGTGTGGTGGTGGTTCTGGACTAGGCTTTAAAACATCATCTGGGGGAGGAATTCTGGGTGTGTCATACAAATGGGCAGATCGAGGGGTGCAAGTTTTGAGGACAGCAGATAGGAAGCTTGTGATGGATGCGTCAAGATCCAAGCAGGAAGAAGGGACGGGTTTTGGGAATACAGGCTGCAAGGTGGGGTGACTTTCCTGCCGGGAGCCAGGGCTCATCTCTCCTCCAATCAATCTGTCTTGTTTTAGCGCCTCCGCACCTGTTGCCTTCATTAGCAGCTTCCCTTCCTCCTCCTTCCAATCCTCAGAACCAAAGAATGTGAAGGGGGTCCATGGAGGTGAGTGAAGCTCTGTCCTTGACCTGCAAGTACCTTCGACGGCACCCCCCCTCTCCTGTCTACGTTCTTACTTCCTATTATAGTAGTGTATGTTATTAACGTGGCCCCAGTATCTAACTCCCACCCATCCCACAACTTCTGGAGGTGAGAGGCACCAGTGGACCCAGGTCAGGCCCCAGCCTACTGCACACTCTTAGTTTCCATTCTTCGTGCCCTCGAAGCCTTGGCGTTTTCCTTTCCACCCTTTCCACCCTCTCCTCTCTACGTGCCTCTTTCCCCACAGGGCTCACGTCCCCGCGTCTTGGTCGGCCACCTAGAGCCTTCCCCACGCGCCTTCGACGGCGAGCTGGATCTGCAGCACTACTCCAACGGACCCGGTGTGAGCGCCGGCTCTCCTGGCATGGGAGCAGTGGGCTGGACTGAGACTCGTGCAGGCGAACGGCGCTTCCCCTGTCCCGTGTGCGGAAAGCGCTTCCGATTCAATTCCATCCTGGCTTTGCACCTGCGAGCCCACCCGGGCGCCCAAGCCTTCCAGTGTCCCCACTGTGGCCACCGCGCCGCGCAGCGGGCTCTGCTGCGCTCACATCTCCGAACGCACCAGCCCGAGCGTCCACGAAGCCCTGCCGCACGGCTGTTGCTGGAGTTGGAGGAACGCGCCCTACTACGTGAAGCCCGACTGGGGAGAGCCAGAAGCTCAGGGGCCATGCAGGCTACCCCTGCCCAGGCAGAGGGCCTGGCGCGCCCTCAGGTTCCTTCCTCGTCTGCCTTCCCTTGCCCTTTCTGCAAAGGCAAGTTTCGCACCTCGGCGGAGCGGGAACGCCACCTGCATATCCTGCACAGGCCCTGGAAGTGCAGCTTGTGCAGTTTTGGCTCCAGCCAGGAGGAGGAGTTGCTGCACCACAGTCTGACGGCCCACGGGGCTCCCGAGCGCCCCCTGGCGGCTGCTTCTACGCCCGAACCCCAGCCTCCACCCCAGCCAGAACCCAGATCTGCCCTTGAGCCTGAGACTGAACCTGAACCTAGGCCAGAGCCCGAACGTGAGGCGAACCCGGCCCCGACTCCTGCCCCTCCGGAGGAACCCCCTGCGCCACCTGAGTTCCGGTGCCAGGTGTGCGGCCAGAGCTTTACGCAGTCCTGGTTTCTCAAGGGTCACATGCGCAAGCACAAGGCCTCCTTTGATCATGCGTGCCCCGTGTGTGGCCGCTGCTTCAAGGAGCCCTGGTTCCTTAAGAACCACATGAAGGTGCACACCAGCAAGCTGGGTCCTTTGCGTGCCCCGGGGCCTGGCTCCACGCCTGCCAGGGCCCCTCAGCCTCCTGACCTGAGCCTCCTGGCTTATGAGCCACTGGGCCCTGCGCTCCTCCTGGCCCCAGCACCCACCCCGGCTGAGCGCCGAGAGCCCCCGAGCCTCTTAGGCTACCTGAGTGTACGAGCTGGGGAGGTACGGCCCAATGGTGAGGGTGCCGACCCTGGAGCCGGCCGAAACTATGGAGGATTCCGCCCGCTGCCTTCAGCTCTTCCCAATCGGGCCCGGCGACACCGCACAGAGGAACCAGAGGAGGAAGAAGAGGTGGTGGAGGCGGAAGAGGAGAGCTGGGCCCGGGGCAGGTCGCTGGGCACTCTGACTTCCCTGCACCCCCACCCAGGTGAGGGGTCAGGACAGTCTGCACCTGCCGTGGGGGCCCAGGCAAGATCTACGGCCACCCAAGGTATGTCCGCACTAGTTTCTCTCTGGGTCGCCTGCCCGCACTTGGTTCTCAACACTTAGGCTACCACTCCGGTAGTTTTCTTTTCAAAAGGCCTGTCTTCGATGCCTTTTGGGCTTTTTTTTTTTTTTTTTTTTTTTTCCTACCAGGAAGCCTTGTGGCTTCCTAAGGGTTTTAACTCTTTAACAAATCTATGTTCCCCCTAAACCTCTCTCCTCTGGGGCCCAGAGAGATGGTGGGTATAATGGGTACCTGGCTGGGACAAGGCAGCGAGACCCTATAACTAACTTCCTTTTAATGTGTTGCAGAAGAAAATGGGCTGCTGGTTGGAGGGACCCGAAACGAAGCGGGCCGTGGGGCCACTGGCAAGGATTGCCCGTTCTGTGGAAAATCTTTCCGCTCTGCACATCACCTGAAAGTGCATCTCCGCGTGCACACAGGTGAGGGAAGCATTTCTGGGGGGTGGGGTGGGGGGTCTAGGAGGAAGAACGGTCAGAGCAACCAGAAGGGCTGGAGGTCGTGCTGGGCAGCTTTCAGATTCATCTACCTCAGTGGGGAATCAATCAGTGTTTGCTCTTGGGCCTTGGGATGAAGTTTGTAAATGGAGCGAAATACCAGTGTGTGTGTGTGTGTGTGTGTGTGTGTATGCGCGCGCGTGCAGTGATAGTGACCCCATGACCTACTCTAACCCACTCTTTCCAGGTGAGCGTCCCTACAAGTGTCCACACTGCGACTATGCAGGTACCCAGTCGGGCTCGCTCAAGTACCACCTTCAGCGTCACCACCGAGAGCAGAGGAGCAGTGCAGGTCCGGGGCCGCCTCCAGAACCCCCGCCCCCTTCCCCGCGGGGCGCAGCCTCACTGCAGCAGCAGCAGCAGCAGCAGCAGCAGTCGGGAGCCAAGGCAACTCAGGCCTCTGCCACCTGGGTGGAGGGCGCTGCAAGTACCCGGCCTCCGAGCAGCACCGGACCAGGGTCCCGTAGGAAGCCTGCCAGCCCTGGGAGGACCCTGCGCAACGGGAGAGGTGGTGAGGCTGAACCCCTGGACCTGTCCCTCCGGGCAGGCCCGGGAGGTGAGGCCGGGTCAGGGGGTGCCCTTCACCGCTGCCTCTTCTGCCCCTTTGCCACCGGAGCCCCTGAGCTCATGGCCTTGCATCTGCAAGTACATCACAGCCGGAGGGCTCGGGGCCGCCGGCAGCCCCGAGCTGACACGTCTCCGCCCTATGTCCGAGCAGCGTCGGGGGAGACGCCTCCCAGCCCTCCCCTAGAAGAGGAGGGCAGTCCCGGGCTGTCTAGATCTGGAGAGGCAGGTCTTGGGGGGCAAGAACGGTAGGAGGGGGCCCTCTTAGACTCACTCGAGTGATTAGCTTAGTAAGCTTACCCCGCGGGAGCGGGGAAGTGCTAGAGGTAGTTGGGTAGAGCAGCCAGCAGGGAGCAGTGTGGGACCCGTATCCCAGCCCAAGGTGGACCAAGAGGTAAAGCGGGCAGTGGGTGAAGGAGGGTGGGCGAGCGGTACCCCCACCCAGCCCAGGGGAGTCACAGTGCCTTAGAAGTGGCAGAGGGGAGGGTCAAAGAGCGGGGTCCTAGGGCTGGTAGAGGATGTGTTCCTGGTGAGGGGCCACTCTGCCAGTTTCTGCTGGTCCATAGGCACGAGAGTTTATTTTTGTATAAGGGGTGGGGGTGGGGGGCACTGTACCCTTCTAGCCCTGTCAGGGGCCCTGTAGACGTTGCTATTTTTGGTACGATTCCTGTCATCCCTGTTGAAGAGTCATGTCCCCAATAAACAGGTGTCTTGAGGCACAAGGCCCCGGCGTGTCTGCCTGTGTTTTGCTCTCCCTAGGCACTTCATTATCAACGAGCTTGATAAGGATGCAAAACTTTGCTTCACCTCCACAGACTTCAGGTTCAGTTAACTCTGGATGGGCCCTAAGAGTTAGCACTGGAAACAGGTAGCCTAAGGGATTCTCTTGCACCGTGGCCTGAGGACATCACTAGACAACTACTGGATTGTGCTGGACCCATCTGATCATCTCAGCCTCAAGAAGTGGGTGCAAAGTGGAGGAGGAACTTCAAAGAGTTCATTGAGCTTCCTAGAGCCTATCCGTTTAGAACAGTTACTTCCTGGCCTGGGTTTTATTTTCTGAACCTTAGTAAGCGCTTAGCGGGAAGTACTCAAGTTAGTTCAAGCACCTTAATCCAGAGACCTGCTCTGGGCCTTGGGAGGCAAAGTGAGAGCAAATACATTTAATATAACAACAGTATAATAACAGTAATTACATATATAAAGTCTGCAATGCCCACCCCATCTCCTTCAATGGCTTATAACACTTCATTTCCCATGGTACCCCAGAATGGAATTCCATTCCACCTGGCAGAGATGATTCTTCTGGGAGAGTCAGGGGGTGAGAAGAAAAGCAGGCTGTCAGCAGAGCAGTGTCCTGCGGCTGTGCAGCGGCACAGGATGAGGGGAAACACTGGAAGAGGGATGTTTCCCTGCCCCCGGGGCACAAAGGCAAGCAAACGGGGCCACTCTGGTTCCTGCAGCAGAAGGCACGAAGCAGGGGAGAGCTAGAGAGAGCAGTGAGAGGGGACGCTCTGGTCCTCGCCCTCCTCTCTGTCCGGGAAGCAGAGAGGGAATTGAGAGCTTAGTCCTCCATCCTGTCCCATTGGCATACCAGCCTAAAATGTGCTGAAAAGGGGCTGCAGCCACGTTCTGGATCTTCTCTGGAAGCCAGGAGAGAAGAGGAAGATGGGTTGGGAGAGGCAAGAAGCCGACTCCCATGCACCCGAGGTCAGGAAGGAAAGTCCTTAAAATAGGGGTAGTAGGCATGCTGGATGTGGGAGAAAGGGGGTGGCTGACTTACCAGGTCACAGAGGTGTGGTGGGGTCACTCAGGGCTCGGGAATGACTCTGAGGACACAGAAATTGCAGGGTGTTTAGACATGCTCTCTATTGTGTGTGTCTCTTTAAGGCTTTTTTTTTACCTCTGACCTTGATGCTTCTCAGCCAGGCCTAGGGGAGAGGAGAAAGGCAGACTGGGTAATAAACCCAATCTGTGGTATCAGCTGAGAGTTGCAGTATCTAGTTCCTCTACTCCCCGATTTGTCAAATGATGAGAGAAAAGCCCACCCAGAAAGAGAGCACCTGCTTCCCAGCCTATTGCAAGGACTTACCTGCCGGGACAGCCCTAAGATCCCTCCACTGGCCAGAGTGGGAGTGCTGCTCCCACGATGTGGGAGATGCAGGCTGGGGCTGTTTCTTGGTCCTGGGGACACATCTCCAGAAGAGTCAAGTGTTTCTGGGGCTGGAGGGGAAGCTAGGGTGAGAGGAAGGTATAAAAACCCTTCCAGGTTACCTTAAACAAGCAAGCTCCTCCGGCAGGGAAGAAGACGCTCCATGGCAACAGGAAGCTGTGAGTCACCATAGCAATCCAGTTGCAAGAGAACCCCCCCTACCAAGAGGCAGGAAATTGTCAGCAGCATCGTTAGAGCAACCAGGGAAGAAGCGACAGGAAACTTAAGAATTGCGGCGGTGAACCAGGAGGGTACAACAGGAAGCTGAGGCAGTTTCCATAGAAACGCAAGGAGAGCTAGAGAGAAAGGTACAGAAGAAGTGCTTCTTAGCAAAAGGCTGCTGTAAGCATCTCCCTAGCAACCAGATGGAAGGCTCTTTTAGCAACGGGGAAGCTGTCTGTAGTTGTCATGGCAACTGGGCTACTTGGCTAGAAAAAGGAATCGCTCAGCAATAGGCAGCCTGAACATCACCATGACCCAGCGGTTGGGGGCCACCCCTTGAGAGGTGCCTCACCCAGGGAAATCTGCTTGACGTCCAGATCCCAGGCCTCCTCCTCGACGCGGGCCGGCAGGGAGCAGGCTCCCGGTGAGAGGCCGGGAAGGGACGGGCCAGCATGCTCAAAGGAAGACACCGCTACGGAGGCCCGGGTGCGGGCGGCTGCAGAGAGTGGGGAGTTGGGGTGGTGGGGTGCTGGTGTGCACAGTCCTCCTGGCTGCCCGGAGTAGCTCACAGAGGGCTTCCCAGGGAGTCCCACATCTCGACACTCAGTCTCCTTCCTGACATCTCCCCGTTGTCGTCCACAGCCTTAGTCAAGGCCTGACTTCTGGGAGCACCCCCCAGCACCCTGGGCCTCACCTCTTCCAGTGAGCAGGGCACTCAGCGTCCGCTCCCCGAGGGCTTTGATGTCCAGGAAAGGTTTGTTCCCTATGCCCATGGAGACCATCTGCTGCACACGGAGCTCTAGGGAACAGAGAGCCTGCTTGCAACCTTCTCTTAGCTCTCCTGCCTCAGTGTTAGCACATCCCCGTTGACTCTGCTTCCCAACGCTGTTTTTCTCTTTCCCAACTCGTAACCATGCCTCCCCTTCTGGTGTGTCCCCCCCACCCCTTCCTTGACTATCATGGCATAGGCTGTGAGGGTGATCTTTGACCTCTTCAGACATGCATCTGTTCTCTGCTATATAGTTCGTCCTGCCCGTGTGGCCTCCTAACCACCCGATGTGTGTGCGTGTGCACATCTGGGTGTGAATGGAGGCACGAACGTTGAGAGGTTGGAGGACACATTAGATGATGGTTGGTCTTCACTTTCCACCTAGTCTTATGGCTGATCACCCTAATCATTTTGGTGTGCATATGCCAGGCTGGCTGTCTAGCCAGCTTCTGGGGGGAATTTCGTGTCTCAGCCTCCCATGTGCTCTGTGGCAGTGGTGGGATTACAGATGTTCCTGTTACTTACTACATCTGCAGTACTGCTGGCCTTTAGGTGGGTCCTGGGGATTTGAACTCAGGTCCTCACACTTGGCATCACGAGCACTTTTACCCAGTGAGCCATCTTCCCGGCCAGTTACTTTTCATGTTACACTCAGTCTCCCTTTATCATGGACATTAACAGCAAGAGTCGTGCTTTTGCACATCTGTGTGGTTTATAAAGTCCTTTTCTATATGTAGCGACCTACTCCATCCTCCCTATCACACTGAGGTGAAGAAAGCACTATGCCTTTTTCAGATTAATAGAATGATTCAGAGAATTACAATAACAACAACAACAAAGCCCAAATCAAAACCCAGTGCCAACCAACAACAAAGAAAAGCTATTAGTCTAGGTCACACGCAAAGTAAGTGGCACCCATCCTTAACCCCGATCCAGAAAGCAGTTCTGCAACCTCTTTCTGAGGAAACATTTGCTCTTGCTCCTTAGAAATTTCTAGCTTTCTCTTTCCTTATGGCTAATCCTGTCTCAGCCGTATCTCTTGAACCATCTCTAAAGGCCTCTTTTCTACCATCTCCATACTCTCCCGAAAACCTTCTCATGGACCTCCGGTTCCAAGCACAGCCCCTCTATGATCGCCCGTTACCCTTGTTGTGGGCCGCCTGTCTCCACAGCAGCTGGGCGATGGAGCTTGTCCACTTGAGTTTGGTCTCTGGTGAGGCAGCCTGCAAAGTGTACGCTTCTCGTGCGCGTCGCCGCCGAAACCATAGTTCAAAACAGAGTCCACTGTCGCCGATGTTTTCGGTCAGCCCCATGTCGGCAGTCTGCGGAAGGGGAGGAGAGAGAGGGATGAAGATGGAGATGTTAGGGGCACCTCACTGGAAAGCGCTATGTGTAGCTTGGTAGGTGTTCAGTAGACATTTGCTCAACATCTGTCAGATACCGGGCGCTCTACACAGTCTGTGTAACAGCCCTGATTTACAGAGGGGAGAAGGAGGCTCACTGAGACCCGAAGCAACTTTCTCAAGAGCTTACCCGAGTTTTCGTAAGGATTCAAACCCATGTCTATATGCCGTTCCAAACACAGACCTTTTGCTCTGTCCTAGCTCTGAAGAGATGGAACTAACACAAGGACAGTTTGGAAACCTTTAGTGTCCTCCCACCTGATCTAGGACTGTGGGTTGCTATGGATGCTTATATCTGGCTAGATGCCCAAAGCAAGGCCTGCCTCTTGAGTTCTCTTTAGTTCAGTGAAATTAAGGTGTGTGTGTGTGTGTGTGTGTGTGTGTGTGTGTGTGTGTGTGTGTTGTTCTTTCTCATATACCAGGGACCACCTCTAACTCAAAAGACTTATGTAGTTTTTGTTTTTTGTTTTTTCTAGGCAGGGTTTCTTTGTGTAGCCTTGGCTGTTCTGGAACTCACTCTGTAGACCAGGTTGGCCTGAAACTCAGATCCACCTGTCTCTTCGTCCCAAGTGCTGGGATTAAAGGCGTGTGCCACCACCACCCAGCAGACATAGGTGTTCTCATTGGGAAGGTTTTTTCCATTCTGTCTTGAAATGCCGCCTTAAGTCTTCTGCATGAATTATATGGAAAACTCAAAGGGTTTTTGTCATTGACCAATGACAGGGATTTTTTTTTTCACCTTCTGACACCCTAAAATTGACGACCAATTAGAGGCCAAAAACTATTTTAGGTGATGAAGACGCTGAACCTGTTTTGGGTTGAACTTCCAGCACATTCTGAGTCCTGAGGAAGACCATGGTTCGGTATCCCCGCTCCACATCATGTACCTTGAAAGCCTGCTTGTAAACGAAGGCCTCAGATCCCCCCTCGGAGCCTTTGAACTTGCTGAACAAGAGCAGGTCCTCAAAGAGAAAGACATGGCGGAGGCACTTTTTCCGGCCACAGATGACAGTGAATGGGTCCCGGTGCAAGAGCTGCCCCTGCTCCTTCAGATCTATCTGGAGAAAGGAGAAGGAAAAGCTGGTCCAGGGGGCCTTCGTGGTGAAGTTATGGGATGTAAGGGGTTTAGAGGGAAAGGGGCCTAAGGACTGGCTGTTGGCAGGCGCAGGAAGCCGGGGAGGGCCTCACCCTCACCCTCTCCACCGCTTCTCATGCACAACTGTCTATCAGCAGTCACTCCTCCGAATAAAAGATGCCCCTCGTAGCGGTACCCAGCCTGGCATGGGGAAGGAAGTCTCTGCATACTGAAGATGCAGGAAGAGAACTGGCAAAGAACGTGGGTAGGTCTATCTAGACCCGCGGTCCTCAGCCCTCCTAATGCTGAGACACTTGAGTGCAGTTCCTTATGTGGTGGTGACCACCCCCCCACCCCACCCCATCCCCGCCACCATAAAATGATTTTCATTGCTACTTTATAGCTGTTTCTGATGGTCTTAGGAGACCCCTGTGAAAGGGTCATTTGACCCCCAAGGGATCGCGACCCACAGATCGAGAACCACAGCTCTAGAGGGAGTACAGTTCCAGCCCGATCTGGAATCAGTGTGGGAAAGAGATTAGGTAGAAGAGAATACAGTATGTAGAAAGGTAGAAGCAGATGGGAAAGAACAATTAGGAAAGGAACAGATAAGCACAAGGCAGATATGGGGAGAGCAGAGGGCGTTTGATACAGACGAAGCAGCGAAGAGCTAGCCAGCGCCTCAGACCTCGGGGGTGGCTTTACAGTCACCAGCCTACACTGTTTCTAAGGCCACAGAGTTACACAGTTTGAGCAAGCGTCCGTCCGTGGAAGCCAGGACCTTACCTCACAGCCTCGCACCGCCTCCACCGCTAGCAGATCTCTGCCTCGGGCCTCCTGTTCCTGGATCAACTGTACAGCAGCCCTGAGGGCCTGGCGCTCGGAGCTTAACTCGGGCCCGGCTTCCCTCAGGAGCTCCTCCAGGAGCTGTGCGTACCGAGCCAGCTGCTCCAGGGGCTGTTGCAGGGCCCGGGATAAGCAGGGGCTGCTGTCCATGGAACCCTAGGGCGGAACCGTAGCCAGGGATGAGACGAGGGGCAGGGCTGGTAGGAGCCAAAGTCTGAGGACAGGAACGTGATAGGCTGGGCACAGGCTTTGGGGAGCAGAGGTACAGAAAGGGGCCTGCAGGCTGGCTCAGTGGGTAAAAGGTGCTTTCCACGAAGCCTGACACCTGAGTTTCATCTCCGGGACCCACGTGGCCGAAAGAGAACTGACTCATGCAGATTCTCCTCTGACCTCCACATGGGCACCATAGTGCGTGTGTGTGTGTGTGTGTGTGTGTGTGTGTGTGTGTGTATGCAAGTATGTGCGTGAGCAAACATAAAAAAATTTTTTTTTAAAGTAAAGAGAAAAAAAAATGCAGAGGTCAAAGAGATGGCCCAGAAGCTAAAGGAACTTGTCACCAAGCCTGGGAATCAAGTTCCATCCTTGGGACCCAGGCAGTGGAAGGAGAGAACCATCTCCTGGGAATTGTCCTATGACTTCCCCATACATGTTTGGCACACACGTGCATGTACACGTACACACACACACACACATACACACACACACACACACACGTAATTTTAAAAAGAAAAGAAAAAGCAGGCAGGGGGCAGCTAGGAGATGCAGCCATCCTGTGCTGGAGGGAAACCCAGGTAATAGCAACTTATGCCCCCTGGCCTTTACAGTCACATCCACATCTTTTCCCCTGAAATCCTTGGACCCTCAAGCTCCCAGTGAGTTGGACAAAGTGCACACTGCCCTTGTCTACCATCTGTAGAAACAGGCTTGGGGCTGAAGAGAGGGCTCAGCAGTTAGGAGCACTTACTGCTCCTTCAGAGGACCTCGGTTCAGTTCCCAGCACCCACCGAGTGTCTCCCAAGTGTCTTTAACTACAGCTTCAGGTGATCTTGATATCCTCTTCTGGCACCCTTGTGCACTGGGCACAGTTCACTACACATATATACCTACAGGCAAACAGTCACCTGTATAAGATAAAAATAAATCTTAACAAAACGAAACTAAGCCGGCGGTGGTGGCACATGCCTTTAATCCCAGCAGTCAGGAGGCAGAGCCAGGCGGATCTCTGTGAGTTCGAGGCCAGCCTGGTCTACAGAGTGAGTTCCGGACAAACTCCAAAACAACACAGAGAAACCCTGTCTCGAGAAAAAACAAACAAACAAACAACAACAGCAAAAAAGAAAAAAAAAATGAAACTAGGCAAAGCAAATAAACAAAACAAAAACAAACCAAACAAACAAAAACAGAGGCCCAAGAAATCAAGAAGTTTACCCTCATTCCCATGAGTGGGGCATCTGGGTAAGAGTCCAGCCTCCCCTGGCTCTCGATGCAATGCTAGGAGACCCTCCTGTTCCCAGACAGCAGTCTGGGAGGTTACTGGAGGTTTTCAGTGAATGTTCCTGGGTACATCCACGAAAAATTGTTCTCTTTTAGAGTTGGAGGTGGAATGAGTTTTTAGGTCTTCCTGGTCCTTTCTCTTAAAAAACATTTTCTCATTTTACTTATTTGTGTGTGTGTGTATACACACACACACACACACACACACACACACACACGGTCAGAAGACAACTAATTTGCAGGAGTCAGTTGTACTGTGTTTCTAGGATGGAACTCAGTTGTGGGTCTTGGAGGCAAGCATCCTTACCTGCTAAGGCATCTCCTCGACCCACTTTTCTGAGAGGTGAAGAAAAGTTTACCTTGGCCGAGGGGGCGGCTGCAGCCAGACCACTCTCCAGTTTGTGTCTGTGCTTCACGAACTGTGCGTAGAGGTTGAACTGGTCCCCCTGTGCCAGTAAGGAAGAGGTAGTGAGTGTCCCTGGTGAGGGACCGGTGGACACTTCTCTTCTCCCATCCCCAGTGCCCAAGGAGGGGTAAGCAGGCAGGCACTCTGCTTGCCAGGAATTATAAATCGAAGACAGGTAACACACCGGCCAAGGTGAGGGACCTTGCAAGAGGTGGGAGATGTTAGGGAAGTGGGGGGAGGCAGAACATGGGAAGGGAGAAGATCTGGAAGACGTCTAGTGGACTGCTCACATGGCGAAGGAAGCAGGCCCCGATGCGCAGAGGATGGGTGGTACAGCCCTGCAGCTCTTGTAGAAAGTGCGTCCCGTGGAAGCTGCGGAGTCTCTCTCGGGCACTCAGGGCTGCGGCCCAGGCGCACCGGAGCTCAGGCGTCAGCTCCGGCCCAGGTGGCGGCACTGGCTCATTCAGAGCGGCTATGTATTCTTGCTCACAGGCAATCAGTTCAGAAACTAGACGCTGCTGGGCACTGTAGGCACAACCCGAGAAGCAGAGGCGTCACTGGGGCGTGGAGAAGAGTCACTACCACCAACAGTATAATCTTCTTCCCCACTTGCCTATGAGACAGCAATTAGTCTGAACTCTCACCTGAAGCTCCGTTTGCGCTCCATTCGCGGGGTACCCAGTCCCCAGGGCCCGTCTGGCCCTCCAGCCCGACCCAACAGCACATGTTCTCGGGGCGAACACGTCCTGTCTACCACTTCAGTACTGGTGACCTCCAGGCCTCGGATCAGCACAGCCCTTGGGGGTCTTCCATCTGCTTCTGGAGCTAGCTCAAGGCCTTCCTCCTCATAGTCCTCCCCACACGGGGTCAGAGAGCAGTGGGATGGGGCTGCCCGCGGCCCAGGGCTGCTGGGAAGAAGCAGGGAGCTGAGGCTGGGCGAAGGGCTATGGGCCCCATGCTGGGCTCCCGTGCTGCTGGCACTGTCTGCCCGTCGTCGTCTGTGGCCTCGAGGACTGGCCTCCTCTCCCAGCTGCTGCTGAATCCTCCTTTCCAGCTCTTGGCAGCGCGCCCGGCACCGGCCCCATTCTCGAAGGACTGCTGGGCTGCCCAGGTCCAGGGCCAGGGCTCGCATCTCCTGGAAGGTGCCTGCACTAGGCTCCGGGGCCCGCCGCAGGGCTAGGGCGGCCAGCACAGCTTCGCGACCCGGCCCGGCTCCCGCCAGCCGAGCAGAGCCCTCATCTACCCATTCGTGTGCCTACAAAAGCCAGACGGGTTGGAGGGAGAGGGAAAAAAAGGTGAGGACACGCGCCACTCCCAAACGCATGTGCCATTGCCAGTGGTTCCCTGGGGGCCATCACCTCCCTGTCCTCCCCCTGCCCCAGCATCACGGTATAACCACGTGCCTTGGAGATGGCATGGGCACAGAGGACACACACACAGCACTGAGTGGGGTTTTTAGGACTGGCTTTCACACAGTGCCTCACCCGACTTTTCACAGATGTGCAAATGTCTACAGAGGCCCTGCCTACCTCAGGTCACAGGTCATTCAGCCTGGGCAAGCTGAAAGTGGAAGCCAAGGGGGCGGGCTTCCCAGGGACCACTCTTAGCAACTGCCTGACCAGCTTCTCCGGGCTGCGGAGGAGGAGGAGGCTGGGTACCCACCTGCTGGAAGAAGCGCTGCAGCCGCAGAGCCCGGTGGAGGCCGCTCTCAACCTGCTCCAGTCGTTGTTCGAAGATATCCAGAACTTTCTGGGAGGCCATGTCCTCCTCCAGAGCCAAAGCTTCCCGGGCCTGGACGAGGCGCTCCTGGAGAAAAGGGGGTCTGGGCTCAGATCTGGTCCTCTCCCAGGGACCCCGCCCCCCACCTCCTCTCTGTCCTCACCTGCACCTCGGTGCTGAAAGCTCGGAACCGCAGTTCTGTCTCTTGCAAGACCGAGAGTGAGTTCCCAGGCGTGGCGAAGCTGGCCAGCTGCTCTTCCCCTGGGCCAGAGAGCCACTGTAACACCTGAGACAGAGCAGAAGGCTGTGAGGAAGGGAGGTTGTGAAGCGGCCAGGCTACAATGAGCTGCCATCACCCCAATGTACAGGAACCCTGGTCATCCCAAAGTCTTGTCTCACTGGGTGCTGTGGGACTGATAAGAGTGGATGATAACAGCTCCCACAAGATTACATGAGAAACCGGGTATGCCATCTTTGGTAAAGTGCCATATGAACAGGGCTGGCAGGAGACACAGGTTATTGTGCCAGGGGCAAGGCCGGCATGAGGAAACAGATAAAAACCCACGTGAACCAAAGGAAGAAGGATGAAAGTTGCTTGGATAACAGGACCAAGAGGAATTCCACATGCACTGTGCTCCTCTGAGTGCTGAGCAGGAAACCTAGGCGCCAAGCCCAAAGGATGGCCCAGGAGATGGTGTGTGTGTGCGTGTGTGTGTGCGTGTGTGTGTGTGTGTGTGTGTGTGTGTGTATCCAGTTCAACTTTCCTACTGTAGGGAATCTCCCACTGGTTCTGAAAAGTTTGACTAATTTTTTCCTCCGAAGAGGGTCTGGAAGCTAGGGTGGAGCAGCTGGAAAATGCAAAGCCTCAGAATGTTCCTAAAAGCCAGTGCCAACAGCAGCCACTTTCCGAGTGAGTCCTCTGCTGACTTCATTTCCCATCCATCCACCTGTGTGTTGTTCTATTTGTCTAGGAATGGGCAACTCAGCAGCAGCAGCAGCCAGTGCCTAGCAGAGTTAGATCGCAAAGCTGACCACTTGAACTTCCAAATTCTGTTTTCAAAATAGGTTTTTAGACGGGCAGGGATATCTAATCCATAGGAGATACCCCTGGGGTGGGGATGGAATGGCAGCCCTAGAACACAAAACCCTGGCTCCCCTTCAGCACTGACTTTGAGATGACCCTTCTCATACCCACACTCAGGTCCATGGGATATATATTCACAGTACTAGGAGCTAAGGAAAAACAACCAGATTTTAAAGTCCCTCTTCCCTTCACAGTGCAGAGACAGCCAATCCCCACAGGGCTTAAGTCCAGAAGAGAAGAATCAAGGTTCAGAGAAGCCAGTCTTATTCTTGAGTCTTAAGAGGCCCGTGGTTCCTCTCAGTGGCTAGCAATGTGTTCTCCAAAGTAGGAGGAGAGACGGGGCCGTTTTGCCTCCGTTTTGGAGGATGATAATGTGGGGAGGCAAAATGTGGAGCCAGAGCCCTCTATCAATAGACATTTATGATCGGGCTTCATGGTTAGGCCCGTAATACCAGCCCTCTGGAGGTGAGGGCAGTAGTGTGAGGAGTTTCATGGCCAGCACCGGCTACACAGTGAGTTCCAGGCCAACCTCGGCTACATCAGGTCCTGTCTCAGAAAAACTCCCAAACAGAAACAAAACATTTATTATCTTCACACCAAGGAGGTTGTGCCCTGAGCCAACCGTGGCTGATTCCAGAGTTCCCTCTGGGTGGTGAACACTTCCCACAATATCTAATGATCCTGACCAAAGACAGACAGAAGGTCGACCTCCCGGCTTCCTTCTGCTGGTGCTGACACGCTCCTGCCTTCACGCTGAGTCTCACACTTCTGTGACAACCTCTAGGGGAGGCTGGAGGGAAGCTGGAAGGATTTCACCCATGCTTGGTGTCAGCAGGGATGCAGTGAAGGAGGGGCTAGGCTCCCAGGCTGAGCAAGGGTATGGGGGCCGGAATCCCCTCACCTGCTGGAGCTGGCGCAGGCGTTGGTGTTTTTCCTGCTGCTGCACTCGTAAGTTGGAGAGGCGCACGAGTTGGTGAATGGCCTCATCTACCTCCTGGTAGAGCACAGCTGGGCCTGGACCCTCAAGCCTGGGGAGAGGCGACACTGAGTCTCTGCCCTTGCCAAGCTTCCCGGTTCTGTCTTTGTATCCTCAGGGATGCAAACACCAGAGGGGTCATGGCAGCGAGAATGAGACTCGCACCGTAACTCCCCTTACTGAATCAGCTTGGCCTCAGCTGAGACATTGAGTATCTCCGGTCCTCCCAGTCCACATTTTTAATCATAACTGGCACACGGGGATGCTGTGAGGGTTATAAGTATAAAGGCACGCTATCTTGTCCAGAGAAGTGCAGAGTAAGAATTATCTGCCACTTAAGGTTTAGGACCGCTCTCCGCTATCTACCCCGCATCTGCCTCTGCACACGCGCCTCTCCCTCTCGTACTTGCTGCTATGGGTGGAGCGCAGGCGCATCAGGATGGCTCCTCCGGTCCTCTGCAGCGCCGTCAGCCGAGGATCTGCCAGCACCTTTTGCAGGGGCTCAGGCATCCCCGCTGCCTCCTTGGGACAAGCAAACACATCAGGAGTTTCGCTAGAAGACTGCCCACCCCAGCCCATCCCGTTCACACCTACCATTGTTCCATCTCATTCCATACCTCTTCCTTTGGTTCTTCTGCTCCCTCGAGCTCCTCAATAGCCTGCCGCACAGAGGTCAACACACCTCGGCACAAGCTGCATAGCTTTGCCACTTCCTGAAACCCACAGACAGAGGTGGAGTTAAGGGACAGCACTCAGGATAAGAAGTAGACCGGGCATGGCGGGCCTTTCTTTAATCCCAGCACTTGGGAGGCAGAGGCGGGTGGAGCTCTGAGTCTGAAGACAGCCTGGTCTGCATAGTGAGTTCCAGGACAGCCAGGGCTATGAAGAGAGACCCTGTCCCCCAAACAAACAAACAAATAAACATAAGCCACAGGATGGAGACAGGACTCCTGGAGACTTTTGTGGAAATAATGCTGGGTTTACTTTCTGACTTTTTTGCTTCCACGTTATACGACATTGGGCAAGCCCACAAACCTTAAAATTCATTTTATTCAATAGTAAAGTTAGAATAAGAATAGATTTTGTAAAATCGAAGGAAATGATATCAGCCTGGCACCGAGCACTGTCGTGGCCCACGGTACGGCTTAGCATGTGAGTTTCCTTTGCCCTCTTCCTCTGGTCTTCACTCTGCCCAGCCCCGCCTCCAGCTCTTCATATCTGCTTTCACTAAGAGCTCGTGTTTGTCGTCAGCTGTGAGCATGCTGACTCTCTATTCTGACTCACTACACTTTGGGTCACAGAAGCATGGAGGTCAGTGATGCAGGTGCATTTGATGGGTGAAGAGCCTGCATTTTGTGGATACTGGTGTAGGGAGCAGGTACAGAAAGGGCACCATCTCTAGAAGTGAGGTAATGTAACTTGCCAGGCCCCATGGAACCAACTTCTCAGCTCTCAGCACTTTCTAGAAACCCACTTAACTATCACAAACACTTCTCTACTTACTTTATGACACCTTAATAGTTCAAGCATACATTACTTAATGTCATTATGAATAATTTGACAAACTTGGGGGCCAGGGAGCTGGAAAGATGGCTCAGAGGTTAAGAGCAAGTATTTTTCTTCCAGAGGACCTAAGTTTGATTCCCAACACTCATATGTAGCTCACAACTGCCTGTAACTCCAGATTGAGGGGTTCTGATGGCTCCGGCCTCTAAGAACACCCACACAGGTGGCATTTACTCACATAGACACACAGACATATATACATGCTTAAAAATAAATCTTAAAACATTCTAAAAGAATATTACAGCCGGGTGGTGGTGGCACACACCTTTAATCCCAGCACTTGGGAGGCAGAGGCAGGAGGACCTTTGTGAGTTCAAGGCCAGCCTGGTCTACAAAGCGAGTTCCAGGAAAGGCGCAAAACTATACAGAGAAACCCTGTCTCAAAAAAACAAAAAAAAAAAAAAAAGAAAGAAAGAAAGAAAGAAAGAAAGAAAGAAAGAAAGAAAGAAAGAAAGAAAAAAAAATATTACAAATTTGAGTGGTCACCGGAAGATGGTTCACGGGTTAAAAGCACTTGAGCACTTGTTGCTCTTGCAGAGGACTGGGTTCCGTTCCCAGTCCCACATGATGGCTGAAAACCTTCTGTAATTCCAGTTCCAGAGGACCTGATGCCCTCTTCTGACTTTTCAGGCACCGGGCACATACATGTATGCAGGTAAAACATTCACACACATAAAATAAAAAATAAAAAATAAAAAGAATTTAACAGTCTTCACGTCTTCCCAGTGGCCAGCAAGACTTGTTCAAGGTTCATGAGTCAGAACTATTTTCTGAATTTAATGGAGCTGCATCTTTCCCAGCCCCACGGTTATGTCTGTCTTTGTCTTTCCTCCTAGACTTCCAGCTCCCAGGTTCCTCGGTACTGACGGGGTTTACCTGGTGTATCTCTGCCCAGTGGTTGGGGAAGAGGTCCCTGTGACCTCCTAAGTCCGACTGTAGCTCCTCTGGCTTGGCCACTCTTTTCAGGTCCTTCTCTGACAGCAACTCAGCTCCCTGCAGACATGGAAGCAGGACTTTTCTGCACAGGCTCCTGTGATTCAGCCCAGTCTCAGAGATCAGCAAGCTGTCCCTCCCCTTTCCATTACTGACAGGGGACTAGGGGGAGAGAGCCTACCTGAAGTCCACAGAGTTCAGCTGGAGGGTCTTCATGGGCAAGAATCACCAGCCGCTGAACGAGCCGAGGGTTGCCAGAGTCCTAAGCACAAAGAAGAATATCCCGAAACTTTGGAGAGTTAGATGGCCTGGAATGGCTGCCACTGGAGAAAAGCGAGGACCTAGGGGACATGCCTGTCTCAAGGGGTTGTATTACCTGAAGCTGACTTAAGGCTGGAATAAGTGCTGGAGGCAGCGGGGGCGCCTTGCGGAGGTCCAGCAGGACGGTTAGCCCCAGTAACTGCAGGTCAGGCCTGTGGAGGCAAGGAGAGCCAAAGATGTGTATGTGTGTGTGTGTGTCTGTCTGTGTGTGCACGAGAGTTGGGGGGACAGCAAAGAGGAAGAAAGAACACAAGTCTTCTAGCTTAGTGCTAACGGTCTTCAGAAGTCAGTACTACTATATTTGGGAAGCAACGAGCAAACAGCCGATGTCTGGGACACGTGCCCAGTAGGCAACCTAACAATCAAGAACCTACATTGGCGTAACTATTGGGTCAGAGGCCTGGAACTCTATGTGCTGTGATGGCATACATTCAAGGCCTTAGCATCTGTCTGAGAGGTACTCAGTGTCCACAAAGTATTCGCTGGATGACTGAGCCTGTGCGCCGATGATCGGGCACTAGTGTAGAGTGCTGAGAGAGTCGGCAGTGGTGATTTTGAAGACCATGAAGATTATCCTGGACGTCAGAATTGGTAAGATCAAGGTCCGTGGCTTGAAAATCTGAGGGTTGATGTAATAGACCAGCAGTGCCTTGAGAAAGAAAGCAGGTCTCCTGAGTCTGCACGCTAATGCCCAGGGTGGAGTCTGCCATGCTTACCTAAGCAGTGAGTGGAGGTAACGAAGGGAAGTGTTCAATGTCTCCTGGGAGGGTGAGGGCTCCTCAAGAAGGCACGGGGGTGGTGGCGTAATAGTCAGCAAAGCTCTCCCAGTCTGGTCGACCCCTCCTGAAGACAGAAAATGGCCAGGCTGTCCTGGCTGGGACAATCTTTGACTACCTCCCTCCCACCTCCCCTCCTTCCCAAGTCCGCTTCAATTGCTCCACTTTCCCAAAGCCCCTTCCCAGCCACCGTGTGTGTGTGTGTGTGTGTGTGTGTGTGTGTGTGTGTGTGTGTGTGACATGTCCTTGTTTGTATGTGCGTACATGTGTGTGGAGACCAGAGGTCACTGTAAGATCTTTCTCAATCGCCTTCCACCTTTTTTTCTTTTCTTTTCTTTTTTCTTTTCTTTTTTTGAGACAGAATTTCTCTGTGTAGTTTTGGAGCCTGTCCTGGACCTTGCTATGTAGACCAGGCTGGCCTTGAACTCACAGAGATCCACCTGGCTCTGCCTCTCGAGTGCTGGGATTAAAGGCATATGCCACTGCCGCCTGGCTAAAGATATTTTTTGAAGATTTATTTATTTTTATTTTATGTGTATTGGTATGTCTGTGAACGTGCCAGATCCCCTGGAACTGGAGCTGTGGACAGTTTTGAATTGCCATGTGGGTGCTGGGAATTGAACTCAGCACCTCTGGAAGAGCAGCCAGCGCTCTTGACTGCTGAGCCGTCTCTCCAGCCCTCCACACTTTTTTTTAAAAGACAGGGTCTCTCACTGAACCTGGAGAATCTCTGGTTCAGCCTGACTGGCTGGCCAATGAACGCCAGAACTCCACTTGTCTCGACCTCCCCCTTTCTTTCCAGCACCGGGGGTTACCAATCCATGCCATGCCTAGCTCTTATGCGGGTGCTGGGGAGCTGAACTCAGTCCTCCTGCTTGTAAAGCAGGCGTTTACCGACTGACCCATCTCCCCGGCCCCTTTCCATTTGTTCGCGGATGCCCACTGACCAGTCAGAACGAAGAATCCAGATGCCATCAAGTCCCAAGCTACAGGTGGGTCATCCAAGATGGAAACTGGGGGAGTCTCTTCCGGGACGCTGTCTCCTTTTACATCCTGCACAGTCTCTGGGGGCTGTGTTGGGGGCTCAGATGGGAACCACCCCGGACCTGTGGGTCCTGTGCAGACAGAGGCAGAGTTACTCTATTCTCTTCCCAGCCAACCCACATCTTCTCTCCTCCAGGCCCCTTCCCTAGGCCCAGCCTGCCCTGGCCCTCGGTGCCTGGGCCCCACTGTCCTCTCACCTGTCACATACCCCGGTACCAACACCTCTTGTTCACTCTCTCTGATCCCTTTTTTTGGGGGCCCACAGTCTTCTGGGGGTGCAGGCTCTTTTCCATCTGTGGGCTTGAGTTCCTCTTTTGATTCAGACTCTGGCTTCCCAGAATCCTCTTTCTCCTTAACCAGGCTGCATTCTGCAGGTTCCTGTTCCCTGGGTGAGGAGGGCAGACTGACAGGGACTTCCTGCTGCCTAGTCTCGTCCTTGTCCTTGGGGCTGAGCGGGGTATTCTCCGCTTTTACAGCCCCTCTGCCAGCAGCTCGCTTCTTCCTTCTGTTCCCTTTGCCTGCTCTTCGCGGGGTACCAGGTGGTCCTTCAGCGCCCTGGCCGGCTCCTCCTCCAGCCTCCCCCGGGGGGAGGCAGGATTCAGCGGCCTCCCCCAGAGCCTCTGCTGGGGGCTCAGATGCCTCCGGGACCGTTGCATCTGGGTCGGCCTCAGCTCCCGGGGGTGAGTCAGAAGAGGCCCCGGTACTACTTCCTTCACCAGGAGGGCGTGCCCCATCCTGGTCCCGAGACCCCAGGCCTTTCTGGTGCATCCATGCCCGGTGTCTCCGGTGCCGGCCTTTCCCTCCAGTGCTCTTCCGGGTGGGTACTGTGCGGGTCCTGGAGAGGCCTGAGGCCTCAGCGTCTGTGGGGCTTCCCCTCATATGAGGCAGCGTCACCTCCAACAGTTCCACATATTCACCCTCCGGACCTTCTACAGGAGCGTTGTGTCCATCCCCAGGACTCCGGGTACCCAGCACCTCCTCAGGGAGTGGAGAGCTAGGAAGCCTTGGAGGTCCAGAGGGCAGTTCTGGGGGCAGTGTGCTTGGCTGATGTCCGACCATGAGGCCCTCTTTGTGCACAAATCGTGGGCAGATGAGCTCAGCCCAGGGCAGGCGCTGAATCCCAGAGGGCGCCGACAGAAGACAGGTGCTGAGGCGCCCCGTTGGCCGGTCCTTGTTAATGCCTTGCAGCCACTCAGGTGTGAATAGGTAGGCACAGGCTTCATTGGGCACTGGCAGCTCCTGTACCCGCCCACCTCCTGGGGCCAGACATTTCAGGGCCAGGCGGGGAGCTTGGGCTGCTGAGGGTATGACCTGCAGGTAGAAGTCGCCAGGCCGCAGCAGCTGCCAGGGAAGGGCTGCTAGTTGTACTACGACCTGTTCATGCAAGCAGAGTGGCCAGCCCTCATGGAAGAAGAGAAATCCACTATACTGGGCCTGGAGAGAGAAGTGAGAGACTCTACTCAAGGTCTGCTGAAGAAACCAGCAAGGGCGCTGTGAGAATGAGTCCACAGTAGGCAGGACCCGTCTTATGTCTGGTGGGTTAAAACCCCTAGGGGACAGGAAAGGAGATCACCACGTGGCGGAGGAAAGAACCCAAACCGTTGATCCTTTGGTGGAAGGAAGCTTTCCTAGAAAGCTAGCTGTATATGTGGGGAGGTAAGAACCCCCGTCATTACAGCGATCTGGTCAACAGATGCCACTGTCTTGGAAGAATCAAAGACTGTTATTAGTCTTTATAGCTGCAGAAGTGAAGACTCTCTCCTGAATCCCATCTGAGCCTGAGGGAATACCTTAAGACATTCACGAGGAAGTAATATTTGAAACTTGCTCTGCAAAAGTCAGGGTCTTTTAGGGGGCAGTCAATGTTTGTTAAGGGTCAATATTTAAGGAAAATAAATATACCTGCGTATGTGTTAGTGTTTGAGTAGTCACAATCAGTGGGAGGTCGGCAAGTGAGACCTAAGCGTTCCTGTGGAGAACAGGATTGGGAAGCCTGTGTCTCTAGGCGGGAGGAAATTAGCCTGGCAGAAAAGGTTTGACGGCCACTCACACAGGCTTCCTGCTGGACCTTGGCAAGCAGGTGTTTAGCAGGTACCAGGAAGTCCAGCGTGTACCTCAGCGCATCCTCCTGGTAAGTCCTCTCCACCACCTGGAACACTTGGCCCAACAGGGTTGGGGCTGTGGCTTCGAAGGGTGGGTACAAGGCAGCGAGTGTGCTCTGTACACAGTCCTCCACCGGCTCCGGCTCCTGGGGGAGACAATGCCAAGCTATAGATAACTAGAGACCACACAAGCATGGCTCCTTGGGAGACGGCTGGTCTGCAGATAGCCATGTCCTGTATCATAGGAGCACAGAGGCTAATCAGAAAATGCTGGCTGAATGAGCCAGAGGGTAGGAGAAAGGGCCAGGCAGTACATACAGGCTGACCACGGCTTCACATTGAAGTTCTGGGACTTTGGCTTTAGAGATCCAGGGGGAGTTTGTTATGAACGACTCTGATCAGGGTTGTCCCAGGTACTTGTAAATTGGGGTGATGGCACAGGTTCACTTGCGCAACCTGGGTCCCTGGACCCAGCTGATGGTCAAGAATTCTGGTAGATGGGGTGGGGTATGGGGTTTCGACAGAGCCATCTTGCCAATAGATTCTCCCAGAACTCACCATCCAGGTAACTTTATCATAAGTGGAGATGTGCCCACCCACAAAAAAACACTGCATCCTAGAGGTGGTTGATGGATAGGTGGGAAGAAAGAAGACAAAACTGTGGCCATCTCAGGTCTTTGTAGCATCCCTTTCTTCCATTCATAAAGCCTGCCAGATTGGCTATAACGAATTGGTTGGGGCCATTTGAAAGAAGACAGAGGCATAAATGAACCCTTGGAGAAGAGAGGAGGAGGTTTTGATGCTATGCATTCCAGTCGAATTTTACCTGGACCCACTGTCTCAAAGACTAAGCCACGTCCAATTCTGACCCACTTCCCTAAGTGAGTCATCGGGCTATCTTTCTTCATCTCGTTCCCTAAACAAAATCCCTTAGGTCTATTTCTTTGCAAGTCTTTCAAGATGGCTTTTTTTTTTTTTTTTTTTTTTTTTTTTTAGTTCCTTTTATCAGACGTCTTTGTAGTAAATGAGGAAAGGGGCACTCTGCGATATTTACCGAGCTCTCTACCCATGGCAAACAGCCCTGGTTTCACCGCAGAACAAAAATTGCTTATTTTACTTCTAAATCTCTCCAGCCAGAGTTGCTTAATCCTGGCTGTTTGAGAAGATTAGGGTATTCAGTCACCCCAGAGACCAGCATTCTGCGTTATCAGCGCACAGACTCGGCCCCAAGGTGTGGGCGAGCAGACAGACCCTCAGTGTTGCCGGGACTGTGTACGTGGGTGGGAAACAGGGTAGGGGTGAGGTTGAGTGGGCCTGGGCTCTGAAGTTAGGATCCGGGGCGCTCCAGCTTGAGCAGCGAAGCAGCTGCAACCCATTAGGGGCGGTGAGCTCATGGCTGAACAAGAGTCGCAGCCACAGGAAACGGCCTCAGCAGGAGGGGAGGAGGGGTCTGGAGCAGGCGGAGGTGGGCAGGAGCCCAAGACACCAGGCCTCTGGTCGGCTGGGACCAAAAAGACGAGCGAGACTGAGTCAGCTCTCACTGGCCTAGTTCCTGTCTCGCTCCAACCCCCTGAGCAGGGTGATGCCTCCCGGGCTTTCTCCGTAGGCATCGCCCGGGCTGGGCCTCTCCCCCTCCTCCACTCTGCAGCGAGCGCGCTAGGCTGCACCCGCCTGGGCAGCGGGCGCCCTCGCCAGCAGAGCCCACCCCTGCCTGTAGTTCCTCGGTGCACGTCTGGCCGGAAAGTTCCGGGCTTAGTGTTCGATCCCGTTGACATGGGCTTCTGGTACCCTGAGTGGCTGCTCTCGGAGGCTCTGCCTCATGCACAGGATTCCATCCAGTTCCCTCCCTGCAGCGGGAGTGCTCGGAGGCAGGCTTCTGTTCCCTGCAGCGGCGTTAAGCCTTGGGGGGGAACTTTGTCCCAAAACTCTGGTTTGGGCTCTGGAAACGTCACGCCCACTGGTACTGCGGAACACCCCCTACCCACCTTTAAACAGCCCCCTTTCTGCGAGGGAATTTCCCTTTGGACGTGCCCTTTGGCCCTGGCCCAGCCACAGCTGTGACTAGTCCCTCAGGGCCGGATGGGTGGGCCCACCTCACCGGGTTGGGGACAGGGATGGAAAAATGGTGGTTCCAGGCAGGTCAGTTCTCATGACCCGAGGCAGTGCCCTTTCCAGGGCTGCCGCCCGCACCAACTCGCAGAGGGTCCCCGGGAGTGGAAAACTGGGGGATAGAGTAGCGGGGGAGGGAAAACCCAGCAAAAGAAAACGGGGTAGGACCGGGAAGGCCGGGGGTTGGGGTGGGGGGAGAGGGGTTGGGCTGTGCGCAAAGACCACGAAAAGGATGGATTGGGAGGCAGCAGAGGAGAAAGAAAGGGTCACGGCAATACTCGGTGGGGACTGGGCAGGCAGCGGGCCGGCAGACAGAAGAAAAGAAGGGGGGATGGGAGGGTGGAGAGTCTCCGGGGCGCCGACCAGCAGCGCTAGGCGGGCACCGGAGGCACGGGGCTGGGGGCCCCGGAGCGGGCTGCGCGAAGGCCGAGGGGACACGGGGGGTGCGACGCGGGGACTCACCATGGCTCGGCGTCGGGAGGTGTCCGACTCTCGGGCGGGCG